CAAATTACTTTTCAAAATAAATTCACTCGAAAACTCACAAGCTTACCGAAAACTCAAGTGGAATGAGCTACTCACAATGTACATCTCTACCACCGTACAAAATACACTAATTTTTTTTGTTAGAATTTTTAATAAAAATTCTATTGGAAAGAAAGTTTTTGTAAATAAAAAAAATAAAATAAAAATAATATGTTAATTTCATTCAAATTCAAATGAAAAATTATTATATAAATATTAATTTGATATTTTTAATATTTGTAATAAAATGAATAATATATTAATTTTTAAAAAATTATAATACTTTTTATAAATTATACTGCTGGGTGCAAAAAGGAGTTTATTTTTTGAACTACAAAGAAGTTTCCACCAGCTGTGCCAACATTGCCTCTCTTTTCATTCCCGCCACACAGTATTTAAACTTTAAAGCCATCTGACTCGCACCAGACTCACGGTTATCAGTTCTCTCTTCCCGTTCTCCTTTTCCTCTTCCATGTGTTTGGTTCTCTAGAAAATGTAAGGAAATACGATTCTGATCCTTAATATTTCAATTTTCGAATGCTTCAATCCTCTTTCCTTTGTTTTCTGATGCTGTCCGGCGACTTTCCCTCGCAGATTTGACTTGATCTTGAGCGATTCAGCTATGCCGAACGTTACCGTCTGTGCTAGGTTTCGGCCTCTGAGTTCAAAGGAGAGAAAAGATCATGGTGATAGCGTTTACATCCACGCCATTGACGCCGAAAGTTTCATTCTCAAGGTTTTAATTAGAAATTTCTTTCGATATGTATCCATATGTTCAATTGCATTTGCTAATTATCTCGAATTATTTATCGATTTCAAGTTTCTAATTGCATTTGCTAATTAATTCGTCTGATTTGTTGATTTTAAGGTGTTCTTGTGCGCGATCGTGTCCCGTTGATTTCGTTTTTCTAGCTTTAATTAGGATCTGTGCTGTTTGTGGTAGGATGAGAAGGACGAAGATATTGCGTTTAGTTTTGATAGAGTGTTCTACGAGAAATCTCAACAAGCTGATATATACGAGTTTCTAGCACTGCCAATTGTTGGAGGTAAAACTAGGAACCTCGTTTTGTTTCTATTCTAGGTTTCGTTAATATTTCCTCATTGTTTGGCTTCTGTTACTATTTCCCTTAGGAATTTTTGGAAAAATGATATGGAAATGTGATTTTCTTATGAAACAGATGCTGTCAAGGGAATAAATGGCACGATCATCACCTATGGACAGGTAATAAATATGGTCCTCAGCACTAGCATAGGAGTAGAACTTAATTTGATCCTTAGCATTCTTCCTTTATAGTTGTTAGTTTGTTTTGAGAGGCGCACAGCTCTTCCATGCATTAATCACAAGAATTAAAACTTTTGTATGTGTGCTAAAGATTTTATGCTCCGAAACCCTCATTGAAGTTCTCCAAGCACTAGGTTAAGCTTAAGGATCTTACAACCTTCACTAATCTAAAAAAAACCTGTTACCTTACTTACCAATGATGACTCCTTTCTAGTCAATATAAGTAGCAATGTTAATTTCTCTTCTAAAAGAGGTTAGTTGCATAAAGCACACATGGTTCACATTTCCATGGTGCCTTTGAAGCTTGTCAATTGAACTATCACTTGTTGAGAATACTTGAGATTATTATATATATTTATATTGCTCTCACCAATTTCTTATGTATCTGATAACAGACAGGGGCAGGGAAGACGTACAGCATGGAGGTAATGTGATGAGTGCCTAAATATATTCCACTAATTATAGCTACTGAAATTAATCACGCCATGCCAATAGTTACCTTACTTAATCAGGGACCGAACATACTAGAATCTGATGAACCGAAGAAAGGGTTGCTCCCAAGAGTGGTAGACGGATTATTTTCATGCCTCAGGTCTTCTGATGATGCAACCAAGCACACAATCAAGCTGTCAATGGTATTGAGAGACAACAATAGTACTAGGATTAGGAGCTGATAGCAGTTTGATATTTGATTGCTAATGCTATGCCCTCATATTTTATTTTTATTTTTATTATTTTGACTTCTCTAGGTGGAGATCTACATGGAGAAAGTCAGGTATGAAAGATAAATAATTATAGGATATACTTTTCCAGCAGTCTGAATATTAAATTCCATTGTGTTTTCTTATCATCAGGGACCTTTTCGATTTATCCAAGGACAATATACAGATTAAGGAGGGTAGAATGCAAGAAATATTGTTATTTGGAGTTACAGAGGTGTTTTTCTGTTCTTACAGAACTTCCCATTCATCTTCATTTTGACATTAATCATTATAAATTAGAGTAACTTTGCGTGTGTTTTAATTCTATGTTTTTCCCAGATGAGATTAATTTAAATATGCTAAAATCTGACACCATCTAGAGTAAGTTTAATAGACCACATTCCCTCAACATAGCTTAATTTGAATATGCTCCTGCACTTGGGTATATGTTTGTGTAAACTTCACATACAATGTTGCTTCTAAGTTCTCCATTTTAATCTTAGTCAAGTGGGATGCCTTGGTCCAGTGGCATGAATGTTTCATTTGGAGATAAATAAATCTTTCCTTGTCTTTGTACAATTTAGGGGCTAAACTTCCCATCCATAGGGGAAGGCAGCCTGTTATCTCATGATAATTAACAGTGAGACGACTGGACAAAAAAAATTAAAAAATAAAAAACAAAAGAACACTCGGATGATTCCATCAAATTGGAACCATACTTTCACAATTTGCATGTTGAGCTTTTCCTGTTTTAATGTTTTTTGCTTGCTGGAGCCTCTAAGATTTCTCCTTTTCTTTATCTGTCCTTTGTTTCAGATCTTGCTATTGGACCCTGCAGAAGCATTAGAAAGCCTATCTGTAAGATGAGAACTGGATCATCTCTCTCTCTCTTTCTATCTCTCTCTCCGTCCACATTCTGACAAAGACCCCAAAAATTGCAGTGTGGGATTGCTAATAGAGCAGTTGGAGAGACCCGTATCCTTTTATAGTTTCTTTTTCATTCTTCTTATTTCTCCTTAACTACACAAGATTTGCTAGATTCAAGTTTTCTTCAGTTACTGGATTTGCAGTTGTCTCGTCTTTCTGTAATTTTGTTGTTCACAATTTGTTACAGAACTTAACATAGACAGAAATGAACATGAAAAGCAGCAGAAGTCACTGTGTTTACATGTTCACAGTCCAACAAGAATCCGCTAAGGATAGGAGGTATAATTTATGCCATATTAGGCTTCATACCTCTCAGCCTTTTAGCTAAGATCAAGGTTAGAATCTGTTCTTACCAGTTTAAGATGGGGACAGCGTGAGAACTGGAAAGTTAATTCTTGTGGACCTCGCGGGGTCAGAGAAGGTGGAAAAAACTGGGGCTGAAGGGAGAGTTCTTGAAGAAGCTAAAACTATCAACAAATCCCTCTCAGCCTTGGGTAACGTGATAAATGCACTAACATGTGGTTCACTTGGCAAAGCAAACCACATTCCTTATCGTGATTCCAAGCTCACTCGGATCCTACAAGATGCTCTTGTCAGTTTCCTCCTCCCAATTTCCCTTTCTGTAATGTAATCAAACCTATTTGAACATATATTTATTCTAATGTTACAGGGAGGGAACTCTCGCACTGCCTTATTGTGCTGTTGCTCACCAAGCTCCTCGAATATATCAGAAAGCCTGTCCACTCTTCGCTTTGCTGCAAGGTGCATCCAGTTCCCTCATGAGACATGCTATTAATTGTTATTAGAGTATGGCCACAAGAAAATATTATTTAATGAAAAAAATAAGAAGGATAATGGCTACTATTTCGTTCTTGTTTTTAACAACTGCTTCTGCTTCTTTCTTAAAATCTGACAATGCTGAACTTCAGCTTAGAAAATGATATCATTCTGATAAGTTAAATATCAGCTCAAAAGTTGAACAACCTGAATAATGCATTCTTGGTTTCACATTTTGTTGTTTTTGCTTAACGTGGTAGGGCAAAGCATATAAAGGCAGCACCATGCATCAACCGCAGTGAAGAGAGAAATGTTGAGAAGAGTGAAGCTTTTTCTGTACCTAGAAATGAGTCATGTGAAAGAATTCTAAACAAAGTTGGCCTTATAACTATCATTCTTTATATCATGAGATTTTTACATCACATTCTTTGACTGCTTTCATTTTTATAGTTGAGACAGAGGCTGGATGCCGAAGATGTTCAGTTACTAGAGGAGTTATTCATTCAAGAGGGAGTATTCCTTGATCCTAATTCAACTGAAGGATTGGAATCAGCCTATGACGACATTATTTTGCGCACAATCTCATCATTACAAAAAGCAGCTGAAGACCTGATGTTTACCGTTGAAAAGGTAAGGGAAATGAATTTACCTTTGATGGTTGAAAATTATCAAGTGAACTTTATTTCTCCTAGGTGTATTATACTGGGATATTCTGAGTTCATAGTTTCATGCTGAAATCAACTTTCAGATGGAGAGAACCTAAGCCATGTCATGTATATTTTCAATTAGTTCTTATCAATATAGCTGACTTATGTGCAGCTTCGGAGGGAGAACAAAGCTCTCAAGTCTAGAATTTCAGATACTGAAAGGTATATAGCACTCAAAGCGGCTGGAGAAAATGCAAATAAGTTTCCTGATTCTCTCAGCTTAGGAGTCATGATAGGCTTCTTCATTCTCTTAGCCTTCATTGTTTATTTGGTCAAGTTACTCTTTCCTACCAACAAGATGAGGTGAAATTCAAAACTGTCTCCTCTTTAGCTATCCCCTCAGTTCACTACTGTCTAACCTTATCAAAATATACAAAGCCAGAGAACCAAAAAAGGCAAGTTGTAGGTAACAAATGGATGTAAACAATACATGTTCCTCTCGTATCAGAAAATATACTGTTTTCTTTCTCTCTTTTTGGGTGAAAACTTTGAATTCTCAAGTTATATAGATGCCCACACTTGGAAGGGAAATTCATCTTGCTTGCAAGAATAGTGCCTCTTGCTTCCAAAACATCTCAGAATTCTCATATTTCTAAATTGCCCCTGATTTTTTTGCCTTTAACCACAATGATCCTTATGATTTTTCTCATAAAGATGTGTCAATGTAAATATACCCTCCATGGGGTTTTATTGTAGGACACATTTTTTCTAATTTGAGAATTAAGATTTAGGGACAATATAGGAATAATACCCAAAAGGGAAACTTTGCTTTTGCTTATGGCCTTATGTCTTTTTGGCTTTCCCACAACATAAAGCAAACTCTCTGCATTGCCCATAAAAGCAAACCACAAGCAAACTTCCTCCCATCCCATGATTCATTTACATGTTATTATCATAAAAAGCCTCTTGGTTTGTTGGTAAGCAAATAACAACACGCACTAAACCACTTCGCCATGACTACCACCAAATCCTCTCTAATCCAAATTCTCAACCTATCTATCCTCTGTTTCACCATTTCCACTTCCATTGACTTCAATTACCCAACTGTCTTTAACTTCGGTGACTCGAATTCCGACACCGGCGAGCTCGTTGCCGGGCTAGGAGTCAGGCTTGACCCTCCTTATGGCCAGACTTACTTCGAAATTCCCTCAGGGAGGTTCTGTGACGGCCGCCTCATTGTAGATTTCCTAAGTAAGTCCTCCCTCTTCACCTTTCTTAATTCTCCATGCATTTAGAAAGTTATAAAATTTATCTAGCTATGTTTTTTCCCTCTTAACAATTGGTTCCGAATTCATATTTACCATATATGTATATATATATATATTGATTGTACCCCGTCCAGGGAAGAAGGATATGCACTTTTTCAATAGTACTAGTTATTGGATTACAAATGCCAAGTTATATTGGTTGTACATTGATTATATCAAATTATATAATATTTATTGTTGAGATAATTTTTTTAATATTAAAAATTATTTTTTATTTAATTATTTTTATCTTTTGATATAATCCAAACGAATAATAAAAAAATCTAATTTTTATTTCCCTTTAAATTGTTTTCTACTTTTGGCCAATTTCGGTTTGCTTTAATTTTCCCATTCTTGCCCATAGACAATATCCTTCCCCAAAAATAATGACCCGTGATACCCGTTGTTGTATCTACTGTCCACGTCACCATTTAGTCTATAGTAAGTTCATACTTTTGTGTTTTATGCTAATGTGTCATACAGAGGTACAAAACCTTTACAGAGAGACCTTTAGCTGAGATGTCATTTTAAGGTGTGGAAACACTACAAAGATTTCCAAATTAGCTTCTTTTTTTTCTTTTTTTTGTCTGGGAATCATTACAAAGTATCCCGTGACCCGGCAGACTTATCCTTTTTTCACGTTAATAAAGCAAATTTGTATTCTACAGAATCTACACATGCTGTTGGTTAATTTTTAAATAAAAACAGGTTAAAATCCTATTTTGGTCCTTAAATTATTGTATGGACCTTCGATTTGGTCCCTAAACTCAAAAAATTCCTAGTTTGATCTCTACTGTTTACCATTTTTACCCTAATTTGGTGCTTTTGTTAATTTTTCACATTAATTGACGGCCAAATACAGAAAAAACATTGCGTGTCACACAAAACATTGCCAAGTTAGCAAAAAAAATGACGTGGCCATTCCAACTCATCCCACCAAAACAAAAATTTTTTCATTCTTCTCTTTCGTTTACCCTTTCTTCAACTTTTGCAAGCTCTCTGCAAACCCTAAGATCTCAACCAATTTCTACTCCTACTGAGTTCATCATCATCATTATCAAACAATAAAACTCACCAAAAAAAAAATTTTATTTAAAAGTTTTTTGCCCATAGATTCTTTCGAACCCAGGCATGCTGGATTCAATTGAACCAGCAGCACCCTTTCTTTCTCTTTTCACTTCCTTACCTTGCCTTCTTCATCAATCAATTCTTCATCTTCATCAATCAACAAAACCCAAAAAAAAAAAAAAAAACAAAACAAAACTCAAACCCAAAAATCTTGAGATCGAAGGAACCCGGGCCTGGGTTCCAACCCAGCAACACCCTTTCTTTCTCTTTCCACTTCCTTACCTTCTTCATCTTCATCATCATTAATCAACAAA